CAGAAAAGAAAGAAATTTTTTGGAGAAATCAACAATTTGCGTAAAAAACTGAGATGGAAATTTATCTGGAGCATGAACGACAAAATCTACATCCGTCAAGACACSAATACCACGTCTCACTCATTTACGACTTAAGATCTACATATGCCGAGAAGCCATGATCACAGCCCAAATCACTCAAATAGAAGAAAAGCTCCCTGGTTCAAGTGTGGAAAATATTCTCGAGTCAAGCCTCAAGTCATCAGTAAGAACATTGCTATTAAGTTTAATTAAATTATTATATAAACTGCTACATATAACTAATATTCAATAATTATGAATGACTGTATGCTCTTAAAAGCTCTTCCCTTTTATGAATTATCTGGAAGAGATTTTCAGAAAGCTACAGGTGCATGGGTTCACAATGCTCACCTAATTCTTAAAGATAAAGTAGACCTTTTTGAAGATATCCTTGAGAGCCCTGACAACACAGAGAATCTTGACAATGACAATCTATCTAATTATTTAGAATCAAAATATTATAGTGTCAAAAAGACAGGATTATATTTTAACGATATTAATCAAAAAGGTATCTCACTATTCCATTGCAATACCCGTAGCCTTACAAAAAACTTAAGCTTACTGAATGATATTCTATGTTCCATTAAGCAGACACCCAGTATAATAGCCATATCGGAGACTAAACTAAGTGAAAATACCTGCAATAATATATCTATTCAAGGCTATGAATTTCTGGGTAATAATTCTAAAACAAATGCAGGAGGAGCAGGCCTGTATATAAGTAGTAATATTCAGTATATAAAAAGGTCTGACCTTGAATTTAATCTCAATGATGTTGAGTCATGCTGGATTGAACTCCCCAGAGATAAGGCCAAAAATATGATCATTGGTAGTATCTATAGGCACCCTTCAAGTGATATTGCTGCTTTCACTGCCTCACTTGAAAGTAAACTTTCTCAATTACAGAAAAAAGGCAATGAAATAATTATCTTGGGTGATATTAATATAAATTTTCTAAATTATAACACAAATGACCTTACCTCAGACTATTTAGACATGCTTTTAAACCTAGGGTTGATGCCAGTTATAACTAAACCAACAAGAATTACTGACCACTCAGCAACTCTTATTGACCATATCTACACAAATATACCTGAAAGAGTCTTGAAATCAGGAATATGTCTTGCTGACATTTCAGATCATTTATCAGTATTCTGCACAATTAAAAGCAAATTGGCTTTTCAAACCACCAGTAGATACTATAGAGATTATTCATCATTCAGAGAGGATTCCTTTCTCAGTGACTTAGATAAGGCAGACTTTAATAAAATGGTTGGCTCTGATGTTAACCACAGCATGACAAAGATTGAAGAAGCCTTACAAATCATTATTGATAAACATGCTCCTATTAGAAAAATGACCAATGCTAAAGTAAAACAGCAAAAAAGGCCATGGATTACTAATGGAATCTTAAAGTCAGTAAAAAACAAACATAAATTATTCAAGTCTCACTTTCTTAGCGGAGACCCCACAAAGGTCCTTTACTTAAAATCTTTTAATAATAAACTCAATAAAATCAAAGAAATTGCTAAAAAAAAGTTATTTTAGCAATCAATTTGCACTTAACAGATATAATTTGAAAACAACCTGGAAACTTATTGGATTGCTCGTAAGCAGGGAAAAAAATCAACACCTTCTATAAACAAACTGATCTTCCAAAATCACTGTTATACTGATAAGCAAAATATTTGTGAGCATCTGAATGACTTCTATGTAAATGTCGGGTCAAATTTAGCTTCAGATCTTCCAATTCATGACTTTGATC